AGCTCTGAAGAAAGAAGGCAATTAAGACTAGATCTAGATTTTTGTAGAAAATTTTAACCAACACTATTTCCACCTGCTCAAAAATGCTCTCAAAGAAAATTCCTTTATGATGTTTTTCTTTTCTTTCACGTTTTTCTGGTGTATCGCTTAGTTGTGCAATTCGTCTGAAAGGTTGTCGTCTCGTTTACTCATAATTTTTGACATTGTCGGTTTTGGAAACTAGGGAAACCAAGCACCATGGGCGCTTTATAACTTATTCATTCCAGTCCGTTTTTTTGAAATGATTTGCCTGTTCTTTTACTTTGTGTCTTTCTTTCGTCGTTTTGGACGCGATTTGTCTCAGGGCGTAGATAGTTAAAAACATAATCGCTTCAATCGCGTCGGAAACTGATAAGTTGCCACTGATTAGTTTCTCGAGTTTTAACCTGAATTAACCACAGTGTGTTAACTCTCCAAGGTTAGGAGAGAATTCGTTTTTTAACAAAATGTAAAAATCTTAACCCGTAACTCACCACCGCGGAATGAATAAACCCCAGAAACTGTATCCTTTAACGTCGTTAACGACAAATAAGGACGTCAGTGCATGAAGCGATTGCGTTTTAAAAATTTTCGAACGAAGAAGCCGTCTTCGATCTGACACATTTCGTACAACTTCCTTTCAAAACGAGGAAAGAGAGACATCGACGAGCAGGTAAATCATTCAGTTCTGTTTTCTTAAGCCTTGGCCCCCTATTCAGTAGAACAAATTCATTTAGTGCTACTGCAATACGACTTGCATGACGGTGAAATAATATTGCATGTCTGAGTTTAATTCACCGATGGTCACACTAAAACCCAGTAAAAAGCAATCGAGCTTTTTGGGTGCTGTTATGTTTCACAAACTCATAATAAATTCAAACAGAATTGTTTCTTGCGAACGGAGTTTTCAGTAACCGGTTTCAAGACACAAAGGAAAAAAACATTATTAAGGGGAACATTATAATATGTCAAATATTTCACGGAAAGTATCAACGAAAATAATCTACAGATATAGGGACGGCACTCGCACGGTAGGTTATGTTTAGTTTTATTCGATTTCTTTCACCACTTTCATGAGCATAGTCACGTTCCGGTGTCCAGCATAAAGCTAAATGATTTAGTTACTGATGCTTACGAGTCTTGACCAAAAGTCTTCCCAATTACTAACGTTTTCGACTACCCGCCAAAATACCTTCGACTTAAATAGAAAAAAGAACGATCTTTTTTATTTTGAAAGATATGCCCTAGAATTCTCTGGGCGCCATTTAGTTTTCTATCATCGGAACATTAGAACTTCAGGCTAGAATAACAATATTATATTTATTGTCTGTATTTAATTTTGTTTCATTTTGTCTTTAATTACAGGACCTGTAATGAGCGTCTTGAGCATCTTGGTGATTTGTCTACAGTTCCAATATTCGCATTCGACACCGTCTCAAACACAATTACAAACACCATCGGAAACTTCGACAACAGCTTCAATAGAATCGCTAGCGACGACATTGGTGTCGTTGTCTCCTTCAGTGTCATTGTCAGCAGAAACATCAAAATCAGTCTGGCCATTACCTTCTGGATCAGCATTAATGTCCACTTTTCAATCAACATTACCTTCAGTGGCATCTTCAGCATCTGAGTCCGCATCACGGGAAGAAACATTGTTAATATCATCAGCAGTATTGGCGTCGGTGTCTCAGACAGTCTCAGTATTAGTATCAACATTATTCTCATTGTCACCATTAGCATTTGCATCGGCATCAGCATTGCTGTCACCCACAACACCCCTATTCAAGTCCTCAACCCTGCTGGTTTCACAAGCGGCATCGTCAGCTTCATTTTCAGCATCATCACTGGAAGTGTCATCAGTATCACTACCAGCGTCGGTGTCAGAGTCACCATCAAAATCTTTTTCAGTGGTGCCTTCAATTTCATTGTCACATTCAACATCAATAACGGTGTCACGATTATCATCAGTGTCAATATCACAAAAAAAATCCTTGTCAGCATATTCGGCATCAGTGACAATGTCTCGACCATCATCTTTGCCAGCATTATCATTGGTATCAGTGTCTGCATTACAATCACTGACAGTGTCATCGTCAAGTTTATTGTCACAGACAAAATCTATCTCAGCGTCGCGATCATCAGTATTACAAACAACACCATTGTCACTGTCTGCATCAGTCTCGAAACAAGCAGTACCTTCAATACCATTGTCAAACAAAACATCCATGTCAGTTTCACATTTATTATCACTGTCCTTGTCACCCACATTCCTGACAGTTTCATCGTCGGCACTGAAGCCAGCAAATCTACCTTCTCTTTCAGAATCAGAACCAGAATCCCCGTCAGTGTCAACATCTGCATCCGAGTCCACATTAAAATCAATAACAGTTCTACCTTCGCCGCTATTGTCACACACGCCATCTGTGTCGGTGTCAAAACTATCATCGATACCATTGGTACTAACGGCATCCATGTTAGCGTCACCATCAGCACCATTGTCACGAGCACATTCCGAACTATCGTCAATGTTACCCTCAAAATCTATGTCAGTGCAACTCTCAGGGTCAGTACATGTATCACTTTCGGCAACATCATTGCTGAAAACATTTTTGCCGGGGTCGCTTGTAGCGTCAAAGTCAGTAACACCACCTACCGTGAATTTAGCATCAGTTTCAGTATCGCCAACAGCATCAAGGTTTTTTCCTCTATCATCATCAATGTCCGCGCTACTACCGGTAACATTGTCACCACCGACATCCTCTTCAATGTTTCTTTTAGCACCATCTTCAGCAGCACGATCAGTTTCAGTTTTACTAACACAATCCTTCTCAGATAAACAATCATCATTCTATCTAACAGCCTCATCACCATACACATTATTAACGACTCAGTCAATATCATCAGCAGCACCAGTGTCATTAGCGGCTTCGTTTTCAGAGTCACTATCAAGATCTACATCAAGGGCTGTTGCAAAATTATCGTTTCTGTCACCTACAACATCTATTTCAATAACGATATTAGCATCGAGGTTAGCTGCACCTTCAGCTTCAATGACAATGTACTCTTCGTTGCCAGTGTCAAAACAACAACTGAAATCCAAGCCAGTGTCGGCATCAGTGCCAATGCCTCCATCGAAAGCAGCTTATCCAACGTCATCCACCTCTGTGCTGCAATCAGTATTAGAGCCTGTATCGCCATCCTTGTCATTTATAGCTTCAAAATCGAAGTTTCCATTATCGATGGCATCATTAGAATTAACGTCAATGACACCCTCCATTGCAGTGTTATCTATATTTGTACCAATTCCGTCATCATTCACGCCGGGATCCTCTCCGGAATTATTCCCAGCAACATCTTCCTCAATAACGGTCCCAGCATCAACGTCAGAAGTGTCTATACTAGCCTCGGCGTCGTTAGCATCATCAAGAACGGTTACAATATCATCATTGGACTCATCAGGATCAAAATCTGTATCATTGACACCTTCATCAGTATCAGCGTCACTCTCTCTCTCAGGGCCATATCCGCAGCCTGTAAAAGTGTCAACGTTTGTATTAACATCATCACCATTTTCTCCGTCAAAATCTGTGCCGGAATCAACATCATCACACACGTCAGCTGCCACTGCTGGACTAGAGTCATCGTTATACGAACTTATAACATCGTCAGTACAACAGTCAAAATCGTCGTCTTGGGAATATGCCACACCAGATATGAAAAGCCATGGGGGCCGCCCAAGTATGAACAGAATTACAGCAACAAAACATACCGTAGTACCAAAGAACTCGGAAACTACAACCCAAATACCCACGAGAACAATACTGGACGAGGGTAAGTTCTTTAAGTCTTGTAAAGTTTTGAAGGTGACAGTTTTTAAGTTTAACTATGTCTCAAATTGAAGCCTGCGAGCAAATTTATAAAAATGTCTAAAGCGATACATTGTGTCTCAAACGTAAGCTCTACATGAGAACTCATTTGCATAACTCTTACAAGATAAAGCTACTATCTCGGTCTTTTTCTCTCACAGGAGATACTAAGAGCTCAAATGGTTCAAACAGCTTAGTACCTGGCGTGGCGGTGGGAAGTTTCGTTGCAGGTGCAGTCGTAACCTTATTAATATGCCTCCTGGTGGTGTTTGTAAAGCGTAGAAAGAAGAGAAAATCCCACGTCTCTGACTTACCATTAACAGTACGTGAGCAACCCTCAGGTGAACCGCAGGTGGAAAATCAGGAAAATTTTTCCAATGGGAGACCACCAAAGGACAAGGGGCCGTTTTTACTAAGAAAGGCTTTCTCGGACGGAAATGTCTTGCCGCTTCAGATGCTGCCTACAAAAAGGACCCCTCCAGAACGATTTTAGTCACTTCTCTTTCCGGCGTTTGGTGTACTTATACTTTCTATTTATGCTATTCTATGCCTGTTATTCAATATAACGTTAATCAGTGGGAAGATGAGAATGAGGAGATCGAGTGGTTACTCAGTTCGTAAGCAAACAAACATTTTATGTTTTCTTCTTGTTGGCCCTATATATACTCTATCTATGCCGGGGTGACCCGGGGAACTGGAGCCGATAAAAATTGAATGAATAATAAAGGCTAGCTATTTAACAGCACAAAATGACCGTTCCAGCCGGTTAGTTCTGACATACTAAAGAGTCCTAAATAATTGCTGCCCCTTAGGGTTTCTAAGATGTCTATCAGGAGTTCCTGCATGTGTTGTAAAGCGTAGAAAGAAGAGAAAATCCCACGTCTCTGACTTACCATTAACAGTACGTAAGCAACCCTCAGGTGAACCGCAGGTGAAAAATCAGGAAAATTTTTCCAATTGGAGACCGCCACCGCCAAAGGACAAGGGCCCTTTGCGATAGCCAAGAATCTCTCACCTTAAATTCTATCTCAACTAAGTGCAAAAACTTTCTTATGAAAAACAGATTTATTGGCTTGAGAATAAAAAAACACTCACATTTTCATATCAATGCTACGCACTTAGCCTCTCTCTCAAACAGAGGCTTGGGGTAACTCAGTTGCGTATTGATAACCATAAATAGGAGCTTTAGCAACGACGACGGCGACGGCAACGAGGACGTCAAAAAGCACCAGGTTTATTACGCAAAACAACTTTGCACATGCATCACCCTTTTTTGTACATTTCTTTACCGTCCTTGCACGACTACGACGTCAAGTTTCATGGAGGACGTAAACAAGCGACGACGAATCTCTTTTTCTTTCTCTAAACTTGAATGTGGTCCTCAAGAAATCAACTCGCCTACGCTTGCCGTTTTCAGCAAATTGGAATAAACGCGACAAAGTTTGAAAAAACGGAAATTCATTTTAAAACTGACGTTTTCGCTGCCGTTGCCGTCATCGATGCTAAAGCTCCCTATTGAATAAGATAGCTGCGGGGAGAGAATCATTTGTTGACTGATAACTCTGGTCGTAAGGGTGTTCTCTAACTATCGAGTGCAAGTAAAAAAGATAGCCAAACTGTGACTTACAAATCATGTACAAATCTGGCGTGGCCAATAGGATGCTTGGATTTCTCCGGAGATCAGCTTTCGAAACTCATGACCATCAAGCTCGCAAGTTACTTTACCTGTCACTAGTTCGAAGCAACCCCACATATCGCTCGCAGGTGTGTGTTCCTCAAGCCGTTTATCTTATCCTTGACATCGAAAGAATTCAGCGGCGCGCAACAAAATTCACTCTGTCGTTGCCGTATCGGTCTGTAGTTAGTTATGAGCCGAGGCTTTTGAAAATTGGGCTGCTACTTAGATTTGGTGTACGTATTCAAATGTTTAATTAGTCTATCGGATCCTTTTATTTCAGTCATGAATTCCACTAGACCCAGGCGTACTGTCTCCTCCAAGGGTACGCTGTTGAATACGGTTAGGGCCAACACCGTCTCCTTTGAGAACAGTTTTTACTGTAGAGCCCCAAGAATCTGGAATACTTTACCAGCCCACCTCCGAAACACTGGCTGTTCAGTAGAGAACTTTAAGAAAGATCTTTTTAATTACTACTTGCATCTCACTTTAGCTAAGTCTGCTCATGATGTCGACACCCCGCAGACCTTTAAGAGTGTGTGTATTAAGTGCCACGCTAGTCCGCCATTGAACAGCTTGCTCGATCGTATGTGTTGTTGATTTTTTATCGATGTCCTCCCCAATTTTGTTTTTGCATTGGCATTTCTTTTTTTGTCGTTTCTTAGTATACCTTCGTATTGAAATTCTTTTTAGTTGTATTACTATTTTTTTTTTTTTTTTTTTCTTTTTTTTTTCCTCTGGAACTCGTAGTGGAGCTTTCTTTGTAAGTGATCCAGGCCTCTTGGCGAAGTTTATAAATAGATAAACTACTGAATCAGGGAGGGAATTTGAAGTATTCTTTTTTTTTTGTCTAAGTATATTTTATGCTAGAAACTAAATTGATTTCGCTACTCTCTTTTCTATTTTTTGTCCCAAAAGAAAAGAGTTCAAAAGAGATTGCACTTGTTATAAGTGGACGAGATGAAAAACGAAATTGGGCAGCTTCAGTCACGAACATCTTGTCATTTATAGTGGGCCTGAAAATAAAAGATTCATATCATATCCAAACAATAAATGAACTTTCCCTTTAGGGATCTGGAAATATGCCCAAGACAATTTTTTTGTATATATTTATTGCATGAAACTGCCAGAACTTAACACAAAGGTTACATGAAAACAACTAAATGCAAAGTCCATATGAAACGATTTCTTGTTGGTATTGCCTAAGAAAGGGCATGCCGGGAGGATTTTGTAGGTCGGTGTCGATCTACATATACCCTGTTTCTTGTCGGGTTAATTTTTCAACAATTTCTTAAGGATTCAGCATTTATACTATTTTATTTTGTAAGACAGTTCAGTGAGCATAACTTATAGTGAAAAAAAATAATAAAATAAAGGAAATCCAATATGCTGTGAGTTTAATTGAAAATTAATTTTCTCGCCTAGTATACCATCAAATCAATACAGTTTAGTGACTGTTCAGATGAAAACGTTTCATATCCGCCTCCCGCCGCCGTAGAATTTTAAGGATCGGAGAATGGGGAAGCATTGACTTCCAGTGCTGGCCAGATTAAAAATAATGATACTAGAATAATCACTTATTTGTTTCTCCAATACATAATACCTATCGAAATATATAAGTAATGCATGTATTTACAAGTAATTTGCACCGTACATGTATATCATAATTTCGGATCTCCAAATATTTTTGGAAAGTGCCCTCTTCCAAACCTTTCGAGCCTAGCTATCGTAGTTATGAGAGTTCTGTCTATTTTTACCCGATTTAATAATTCATTACAGCAAAGCAATCGTGAGTAGAGTAACTTTAATTAACCCGTGAAACAGTATCGGAGCAATCATTCCAGTACTTTAAGTAAACATCAGAAAACAATAAAATTAGCCAGGGTCTAACCGCTACACTGTCTATTTTCTGTGTTAAGTAAAATCGCTCTGGCAAATTCATCCTCGTTGACTGGTACACATAGAATGAACTCATTCAGTATTCAAGGCTGCACTAACGGATACGTTGGCAACAAATAAGTTAATAACGAAATGCCTTAAGGCTGCAGGTAGGCTTAGTCAAGTGAATCGTACTTCTTTAATTGTTTTTGGAACAATGCCTAATACAAAAGTGGCCTACTAATTGGCTCCCTAAGATCGAACTCTTTTTTAACAACAGTGATCAACGTCAATTTTCTCATAATAATAACAATGCCTAATCACGTAGAAGGTTATGAGAATTAGTAAAATGATGGCCTGAGGGACGATGCTTTAAAAGTGGTGAAATATTTGAATAAGCTTTATGCTAGGTGTTAAAAGCGTGTATCCATCATTTAATTCTCTATAAAAATCCATCACCATACTGCTCACGGTAAAGAGTTCAAAGAACATTTACCCATATTGACAAGTTCAATTTGTTATAATTATTATTTAATATTACTTTCTGCCAATCCTTCCACTGTATTTTTTCCCTAAATGCTTACTAATCGGAAATGTTAATCCTAACACAGGCATTTAAAGCATAGATAGTGAAATTTTGAGATAGGAGATTTCTCTTCTCTCTTTGTCCTTGGAAAAAAGCCAGAAAGGTAAAAGGCCTGATTGTCACAAAATAAATGCAAGAACTGAACTTCATGTAATTTAAAGCCGCTATGTCAATAACATGGATATTTTGCCCATGGCTTAAAGTGAATATTGGCTCTTAAACATGTTTGATGTCTGACAGGTGATCTTTTATGTGAAATGTTGGGAAAAACATTACACAAGAATACATACACGACTAAAGACACAACCTTATGTGAAGTATTTGCGGTTCTCTTTGTTACTCTGCATGCCTACTGCAAAGAGTTAATAACTGAACTATCCCAGGATAGACTACCATAATGTTTGGATCACAAAAGACTTGCCCACATGAAAGAATATATGGTGAGCTCAGTAACCTGTTTATCAGTGACATGCTAAAAGACCCTTCCTCTTAATACGGCTCGGGGATAAGTTCTCTTATTACATAAATGGGCAAGAAAATCCCTCATGCTCTAAAACGCACAGCCAACTCATGCAATGTTTTTTTTTTGATAAACTAGTAAAGTAGGTACCACTTCATGCCTGCAATCTCAGGTAATTATAGCTAACTTGAGTATAAGTCTTACATTAGAAATGCACCGTAAATTAGGACCTACTATAGGACGCTTAATGCTTTTCAGCATAAAACCCAACAGCTCTTTTGCCCATGCATTTGACACATTTAAAGCTGAATGAACTAACAGCTTTGAAGAAATAGGGCAATTAAGACTAGATCTAGATTTTTGTAAAACACGAAAGTTTTAACCAACACTATTTCCACCTGCTCAAAAATGCTCTCAAGGAAAATTCCTTTATGATGTTTTTCTTTTCTTTCACGTTTTTCTTATGTATTGCTTAGTTGTGCAATTCGTCTGAAAGGTTGTCGTCTCGTTTACTCACAATTTTTAACGTTGCCTGTTTTGGAAACTACCGACTGGATAATTCACAATACACTGAACAGCTGATTCATGTTAACTTCCGTTAGAAAACTAACTTTGCAACAGGAAATGAAAGTGGAAGTGTTTTATTTTCTATATAAACTAAACAAATACACAGTTTCTTATGTGCCTCAGTCTCCGATGTAATCTTTCCTTTTCATTGTAGGCACTTTTTGTAAACGTAAAACGAAGAACATTTCTCTAAATTCTTTTGCTTAGCCAGTTATTTCCAAGAAATTGAAACAGACCCGTTTGAGTCTTTAATTTAAA